AAAGGAAAAGCAAAGCCAAAAAGAATACATACAAAAGTATGAGAAAAAAAATATAGAAAAATAGTTCAAGGGGAAAATTATAACTTGTGAGATCATTAACTAACTGTCATTGTGTTAGGGACAAAAGCATGAAGTTTGAAACCTGACTTGAGGAATTGTTAATCAAGAATTATTCATATGAGTTGAATTTCTCAAATATTTTTTTTGTATATCCCAGAAAAACCAATAATTCTTTCTTAGCTCAGCCCCATTACAAGCCTCAAAAGACCTTTTGATTTAAGTCTTGTTTAACAATTGTTAATTGTTGGAAGATGATTATCAATATTGGATTGTCTAAATGAAGTGATTGAATGAGATAAACACTTACCTGTGAGAATTAGAGAGGAGTATATATAACTCTATTTGAGGGATCATGCTTCTCTAAGGATAGTTGAAGACTAATTATTCTTTGTTGGTTTCTATAACTTGAATGCTTATGTGTTCTATTTTCATTTGGAGTTATGAGCATCACCTCTGAAAATTTTTATGTTGTGGTTCTGGAAGAGAAAGAGATAATAGGTGATGGTTTTGTTTTGGAAAAATTACTTTGCTTGGGACAAGCAAGATTCTAGGTTGGGGGAGTTGTTAAGTGGTAAAAAGTTGACATAATTATACCTTGAATTGTTATGAAACCACTTAACTTATGTTAATTATAATCTATTTTTCTCCCAATATAGGATGAATTCGAGAATACCTTGATACAAGAGTAAGCAGTATAATTGTGAAGTAATTGAAGAAAAATTGAAAGAAAGAATAACGCTTAAGCGAATGAATGATGCGAGGCCCGACCCAAAGTCTCTTATAAAAAGATAATATGTGTTTTGAGAAAGCAAGCAGTCTTGGAGAAAAGGAGGCACGACTACTGTTAGGGTTTCATCTAATCTTCATCAATTATTCACTTCTTCATCAATTAGAGCATTGTAATGGCCAACATGAGTGGCTAACTTCATTCTCTTAGGATTCGATGCACTTCCTTTGAACTCTTTTGTATCATGGTGATATTTTGAGATATTAATCTATGCTTTGATGTTGTTATTCTTATCCTTTATGTTTTGGAATGATTTATTCTTGATTGTTTGAGGTATGATTGGAAAATATATCTTGAACCCTAGATCACAGTAAGAATATTTGTTACGTTAATTGCCAGGAATGGAATGGATGTATCAATTGCTTAACACCCTAACTCTAATGCTAGAAAATCTCTTAATTGTGTGAGGAATCAACATTTATTAGGTTTTCTTATGAATTTCATGTGTGAGGAATCAACATAGATGATTTGAGTAGGTGACATCAACATTGTTAGGTTAATTGACGTTCTTAATTGATTTAGCCATTACAAAAGAGGGATAAGGAAGGAAGTCAATCCTAAGTACCTTTAATTGATATTTTCTCAACAATTTACAGTTCTTTGTCATTTAATTTCAATTCAACTCTTTATGTAAAACTCATTCTGTTTTAATCTACTTAGTAAGCACATAATTGGGAATTTCCATTGAAACTGTTCCTCGCGGGATCAACTTTTATTTAATCGAAATACTATTAATCAATTATTCACTTCTTCATCAATTAGAGTATTGTAATGGCCAACATGAGTGGATAACTTCATTCTCTTAGGATTCGGTGCACTTCCTTTGAACTCTTTTGTATCATGGTGATATTTTGAGATATTAATCTATCCTTTGATGTTGTTATTCTTATCATTTATGCTTTGGAATGATTTATTCTTGATTGTTTGAGGTATGATTGGAAAATATATCTTGAACCCTAGATCACGGTAAGAATATTTGTTACGTTAATTGTCAGGAATGGAATAAATGTATCAATTGCTTAACACCCTAACCCTAATGCTAGAAAATCTCTTAATTGTGTGAGGAATCAACATTTATTAGGTTTTATTATGAATTTCATGTGTGAGGAATCAATATGGATGATTTGAGTAGGTGACATCAACATTGTTAGGTTAATTGACGTTCTTAATTGATTTAGCCATTACAAAAGAGGGATAAGGAAGGAAGTCAATCCTAAGTACCTTTAATTGATATTTTCTCAACAATTTACAATTCTTTGTCATTTAATTTCAATTCAACTCTTTATGCAAAACTCATTCTGTTTTAATCTACTTAGTAAACATATAATTGGGAATTTCCATTGAAACCGTTCCTCGTGGGATCGACTTTTATTTAATCGAAATACTATACTGCGATTGATAATTTTGGTACGCTTGTCAATAATTCAACAGGATGTAAAAAAAAATATTCTTTGTACATCTTAAAAATCACATCTTCCATCTTGAAAATATAAAAGGATCAAATTAACCTTAAACCTTTTTTCAAACTTTGTGGTATCCTCACACCTTTTTGCAAACTTTGTGGCATCCTCACCAAAAATTTATATCTTGCATGACACTTTGAAATGAAGAATTTAACAATCTTTGGAGAATACCATTCTACAACAAATTTAATAATCTTTTTGACAAGATCATTATAGAAATATTTAATATTATAGAAATATTTAATACCATTTCATAATGATATTTTAAAATATTCTATAATAAGATTTATCATTACAAAATAAGCATTATAAAATTATTTTAAATTATTTTAAAAATGGTCTTTCAATAAAGACCATTGGGAAACAAATTCAAACTCTTCACAATTCATTTTGTAATGAAAAATCTTATTATAAAGTGTTCTAGAATTTTCTTTCAAAGTATTAATTTGTTTTGGAATGATGTTTCTAAAAGGGATAAAAATTTTGTGAAGCTGCAGTGAAGTTTAAAAAATGGTTAATGATAATTTGGCCATTTGGACATTTTTGGGGTGTAGGTCAAAATTTTGATGCTAAGATTGAGCTTAAAAAAAAAGTAAAATTGGAAATAGTTTCTTTCTATGAACAAAGTTATATCAATATAGGTCACACAATCATCGGTTTATCTTTAAAATCTTTAGAAAAAATGTAAATTTTAGTCCATTATTCTTTTGAACATAACGTGCATAACTTGTGTGCGAGTTAACGATAGAGCCGGTTGGTCCGTTTACCCTTTTAATTATAATAATTATTATTATTTTATGTAATTACAATTTATAATATTTTATTGAAATAAAAGAGGGAAGAGATGATTGATTCAATATGTTCTTTAAGAATTTAAAATCCTTGTAAATTTTATTGTCATTTAACTACTTGTTACATTATATTAAAGACTTAGATTATTAATATTGTGTTTTAATTACTTTATTTTTGGGTTTTTTTACATAATAGGGTTAAAAAACCCAAATTTACCGAGAGGATTGAATTTCAAAAAAATTATAAAAATAGGTTAAATTATGCTTCACTCAATTTTTTTTATTTCTTTTTTTATTTTTATTTTTCTCAAAATCATGCTACCTAACATAAATTTAGTATTTTTTTTAAAATAAGACTATTTAGTTTTTTTTAAAATATATTATTTATAAAATAATTAATTTCAATGTAATTATTAAATTAAAAAAATAAAATTCTTTCTCATATTTCTTACGAAACTTAGAACTAGCTCCTCTCAAAATATTTCTAATACAGTAGAATATGAGAAAAACTTTCAAAGACACTTAAAAACAAAAACAATTTGAGGTACAAACTAATTAACCAATTTCCACAAACAATGTTAATTTTATTTAAATAGATTGAAAAAAAATACACAAATGGTCATATATATATATATATCCCCTCTCCAACATTCAATATCTTAGGAGATGTGAGACTAATTTAATCTTTAACAAGTACTAACACTATAGTCTCAAAAGAATTTAAGTCTTATATTTTTTATTCTATGTATATTCAAGAGTTTATATATTCTTATCTTCTCAATTATTACAATCATGAATAGAAGCTTAAACTTTAGTTTGTGTAGATTGAAGATATGTTAACTTAGTTCAGAATATGTTAAGACAAGGTGCAATCTCTTTTTAACTTAATCAATTATTGATTTTTTTCCTTTCTTAATATTCTGCTTCCTTGTCCCACATTACTTTAAAAAAGATGTTTCCGAGTATTTATATACGAAAAAGTTTCTTTTATGTTCAAATAATTAGAGTGAGCATGACCATTTGTTTTGAGACATGGTTGAGAATTTGTAATTATGATACATACTGTTGATCACTTTCGGACCATTAGTTGTGAAGGATGCGTGGGGTAAGCCAATTCAAGTGGCATTTAGAGATGCATTGATTAAACATCATATTACCATTGGGAGTGCAATTTAACTTTTATAAGAGTATGTTCAGTTTAATCAATATCTCAAATTTAAAGTTTAAGTATATAGTTTTGTTAAATATTTATAAATAAAACTATCATTTATAATTATATTGGAGAAAAAATACTTATAATTTATATGAAACTTGTGTCATAAATATTCATTTGACAATATATCTCATTATTTATATTATAATCTTATTAAAATGTTACTTTATAATCGTTTCAAGTTTTGAAAATCACTTGTAAAACCTAAACCTACCTATATATTTTTTTGTTTTTTTATTTCATTTGTTTTGGTTTAATGAAAGCTCATATATGAATTTTGCTTAACAAGAACAACAGCAGCAAAATAACTCTAGATGCATATTATCTTTAGTTGCAGTAGAAATAATAGCTTTTATTTTATAATAACTGAAAATTGAAAACTGGTTTTGATATCTATAGCAACAGGGTATTGGATATCTAATCTTTCGAGTTATATTACACAGACATTAATATTGATATAATCCCATCATTGAAAGAAAAAGTAGTACAAGCTACCTTTTAAAATGATGTAGTGCATAATTATCACTAAACAACTCATTAAAAAAGATTAACAGATCTTCCATTATACAAACATGGAACTTTTTCAACCAAAGAACAATGTACAAAGAAAGTTTTATATTGGTGTATCTCAGTGTATAACATGTGTACATAGGGTGAGATGGTCCATTCCATGAGCTCCTCTAAATTTACTTTGCAGTAGGCAAAAGGGGTTCTCTAGCAGCAGAGTTCCCAGGTTTCCCTCTCAAATTTGATAGAACCAAATACAAGAATCCAGCAGAAAAGAAGCTTATAAACCAGGCATTGTTGTAGATCACAACAAAAGTGTTAGGAACTGAAGTTGCAAATCCAACTTTCTGCAAGAAGCCAGGAACCACAGGTAAAACTCCAATAACTAGTGCTAGAATAGCCGCTACATTAAACCCCCCTGAATACCTGTATGCTCCATAAGGACTCTTTGAGTACAAGTCACTCATATTCAAGTTTGTTTTTTGTATAATATAGTAATCAGCTAGAACAATCCCTGCAATAGGACCCATCAAAGCAGAATATCCAACAAGCCAAGTATAAACAAAGCTCTCACTTGATTGAAGAAGCCTCCAAGGTTGAAAAGCAATCCCAAGGAGTGCAGTCAGAAGAGCTCCTCTTCTAAAGGTGAACCATTTGGGGCTGAGATTAACTAGAGCATTTGCTGGTGCGACAACATTGGCAGCAATGTTGGTGGTGATAATGGCTAGGCTTATACCAAGGATTGCAATGATCCTTGTAGTAAGGCCACCAATTTGACCAAGAAGTTGAATTGGATCAGAAATAACTTGACCAAATATCACTTTTGTGGATGAGGTGACTGCTAGACCAACAAATGTGAAGGCCCCCATAAAGATGGGAAGCCCAATTTGACCAATAACTTGATCCTTCTGGCTCTTGGCATATCTAGTAAAATCAGGGATGTTAATAGCCACAGTGGCCCAAAAGCTTATATTGGCAGTGAGAGAAGGGAAGAAAACAGACCAAAATTCTGATGTAGAGAGCCTGGAAGACAAAGAGAGCATGTGACTAATGCCACCTGCTTTGACACAAGACCAAATAAGAAGGCAAGAAGTAAGAGCAACCAATATGGGAGCTGAGTACTTCTCAAGCTTTCTAATGCCATCAATTCCTCTCCACACAAAGGCCAATTGAACCACCCAAAAGACCAAGAAACAAGCAAACTCAAGGGGGGAAGTACCAAGCCAAGGCAGAGGCTGGGACAATGAAGCTTCCTTCATTGACTTCGGCAAGAGAAGGAAAATTGCCTCTCCACCAATCCAAGACTCAATTCCATACCAACCACAACCAATAAGGGCCCTTAGAAGGGTAGGAATATGAGCACCATGGATGCCAAAAGAGGATCTAGCAAGAACTGGGAATGATATACCATAACGTGTCCCTGCATGGCCAGTGAGGACCAAAGGAACCAAGAGGACCATGTTGGCTGCCACCACAGTTGCTATGCCCTGCCACCAAGCCATGCCAAGGTCAACAAGGCTACCAGCAAGGTAGTAAGAGGGAACACCAACAACTAGTCCAACCCATAAACTGGCTATTTCAAAGCCTGAAAATGTCCTTTGACTTTGTGCTGTTGGCTTGAGGTCTTCATTGGTGAGAGTGGGATCAGATTCAAACTCCAAATCAGGTAGTGAAATGAAGTTTGAAGAGTTGGAACATTTCATTGGGAGGAATTTTGCTAAGGAATCGTTGTATGGTGAAGTGAAGTTTTTTTTCAGTTTTGAAGGCAAAAAATGATGGGTGGAAGAGTAAGACAACCTTGGAGTTTTGGAGGGTGCCACTGGGTTGAGAAAAGGATTAGTGGGGTGAGGAGGAACATGGAGTGTTAAACTTAGACACTTGGATACTACCATGCTTTTTGAATTGTGGTTGTGAACTCAAGGTTGGTTGTAGAGTACGACGATGGAGATGGAAGATGAGTGGTGGGGACTGAAGGGAAAAATGTGACTTCTTTATTTGTTTTTTTTTTTTATTCTTTTTATTGTGAACCAAATGCATTTGAAGAATGAGGTCAATGAGTTGCAGTAGATCAATGAGTTAAAAACTGACGTGTGGTTATATTATCTCGAATTGTGTAAAGCCAGTTCTTAGTCAGATTATAATCTAATGCAATTTATTATTCTACACATGTTCCATGAATGAATTAATAAATAATACTTGTTGATTAAATTAAAATTCTGATTCCTTTTTTCTAAAAAATAAAATAAAATTCTGTTTCCTTAAGATCGTGCCACCACCGCTAGCAAATTTAAATGCATACTATATGAGCACCAACATTGTATAAATTACGGGTTGTTGTAATTTTTTCATTACAAGTGCAAGATTAGTACTTTAAATGGATTTAATTAAATGAAATAATGCTATAATTATGATTTCTAAAGTCAATAACATATTGAAGATGTAATTAAATTTAAGAATAAAATTATTTTTTTTATGATTATAATTGAACAAGTTCAATGTGCCTTTATTATTTATTTATGATACTATTTCAAAATCTTTTTTTATCAGTTATATTTTGTATCAAGTGAATATATCATTTCTCAAATTTTAATAAATTTTTTTTATAAATTATTCAACTTGAATATGGGTCTTCTTCTTATATTTGATGTGAAAATTTTGATAACGAATATAGTTTTAGGTAAAATTTTCATAATCACATCCTTAAAATAGAGACTCACCACATAGTCGATCTCTTAGGTCAGTTGTTTGACGAGGTAGATTATTTGAACACCACACAATTTTCAGTCTCAAGTATTAGATGTTAAGACTTCAATTAAATAAAAAAATCTTATCGTCTCACCCAATGCTTGACAGTTGAGTGAAGCAATGACTCAAGTTTTCTCAGATATCAATTACCACCCTTGAAGATTGGAAGAAAGTTGAGGAAGACAAACTTCGTGTTTTGGAGAAATTAGACAAATGCCTCAGGGTCCATGCTACTACTAGCAAGGCGTTGCGGAGATGAAATTATCCTAGGAGAAAAAAAAATCACACGAAGCCCTTCACCAGATAATGTAATGGATGGAAAAATTGTCAAAGAGGAGGAGGATTAATTTGTATTTTATGTAAGAATTTAGTTTTTGCATCATATGTTGTACTTAGACATGACATTCTACTCGTATACTATTTTCATTCGATGATTTATTTATAATTTAAATATTATTCTCTCTCTTGACATTATGCAATGGGTTCATTGCACATCATGAAACTTGTAGTAAATTTACTTATTTAAAAGCTTGGATCGAATATCATGTCGTTTGACCAACCTCAAAATGTCCTTATGTAGAGAAGATCTACCTCAATGGGTCATCACATAGAAAAGACTGACATCAGCAGATCATTATATTGAGAAGATCGTCTTCAACGGGTTATCATGTTAAGTAGATTGACCTCAAAGGGTCATCATGTAGAGTAAATCAAACTCAAGGGTTATTGTGTAAAGTAAAATGACCTCAAAAGGTCATCGTGTAGAGTAACACAATCTCAAAGGGTCATCGTGTAGAGTTGTTTGACCTCAAAGGGTCATCATGTAAGTAGACTGATGTCAAAGGTTGTCATGTAGAATAGATCAACCTCAAAGGGTCATTGTGGTACGACCTAAATAGAACCCAATAAATTTATGACTTAAATAGAACCTGACAAATTGTGTGTGTGTGTGTATGATTTAGAAAAAAATAATAAACTCTAAACCTAATATTCATTTGATTTGGTCATCTTCTTCCTCCCTATTGTTGTCGTCACATTTGCTTTTAAGGACTAATAATTTAAAACGACATATTCTTAAATGTAGTATATTTATAAAGTAACATAATGTGGGAGTTATGTTGGATAATAAGACTAGCAGTAATGAAAATTTTGAGTTTAAAATTTATAGAAATGCACTTATTAGATGCATTATTAAACATGATATTCAATTTAGCCATGTTGAGTATAAGAGATATTTAACAAAAAAAGAAAAAAAAACTAAAAGATGTGTTACCTAATATTTACGATAGAATATTTTAAACCAATTACTAAAAACATTCAAATTATATAGATATAACATGTATTTAACTCAAAAGAAAAAACTAAAAATGCATTATCTAATATTTTTAGTAGGTTATGTTTGATTTATGATGAATAATTATAACTCCTCAGTATGACTAGAATATATTTTTTTTATAATTTTATAAATTTGATTTTATTTTTCTTGAATAGTTTATAAGTTAATTTTAAATAAATAAATGAATAATATAATTTTTTAAAAATAAAATTAAAAATAAATTATATAAATAAATACAATTATTTTTAATTAGACTAAAAATGTCCACCATTGACCTAACATAAATGTAGACCAGACAACAATATTTTAAAAATAATGATTGAGGTATATAATAGAAACCTCCATCATATTTATTATAAAATAAATGAAATATAATTCTTTAATCAATCAATGATTATGCTAATAAGCCAACGCATGTGTAGTTGAAACATTTATTGTCGGCGTTGGAGTGCATTAAACACCTTTTTTTTTTTAAGGTATGAAATGTTTGGGCTGACATGGCAAAGTGGGTTAAGTGTCCATGTCTTAGAAGTGGTTGTTTTTGATTTTTTTTTATTTTGCGTAATCCGCTAATCCAGTGAGTAGAGCACAATTTTAAGAAAATAATTAGTATATTAAAATTATAATAAAAAATATTATATTATTTATATTTTATTATTAAAATATATAAATATATTATAATATTATAATTTAAATTATAAATATTAATTTATTAAACTTAAATTATTAATTATAATAAAATATTTGTAACATATAAATATAATAATTTTTTTAATTTATCTAATAAAAATATTAATTAATAAATAAAAATTTAAAAATAACTCATATAATTAAAAGATATATTTTAATAAAAATTAATATAAAAAAATATATTGGTGAACTAACTCAACTTATTATTTAATAAAATGGATTGTGATTTATAATTTGTTTTAATTATAAAAATTCGACCTTATTTTTACTTGTTAGAGATAGAACTAAGTAAAATAAAACGAAGTGATCCGTTTTTATTTTTAATTCGAAGTTCAAAAGAATTTTCTCTAATTTTATTTCTTTTATTTAAAATGATATATCTACTCCTAATTTTCCTAATTTTTTTTAAAACATCACATCTCCTTGCAATAATACTTTCTTGCCTAAAAAAATAATTAAAATATCAATTAATTAAAATAATTTTTGTTTCCTCGTCATCATCTTTTTTTTATTAAATATTTGGTTGGAATATCTCTTCAAAAAATACTTTTTGAAACATATTTTTGTTTTCTTAATATTGTAAAAAATATTTTACATGATACTATTTATTTTGATGTTCGAGAAAGAATTTTCCGGTGTAACAAGTTACAATATTTTTGGTTTTAAAGAGAGAGCCAAGAATTTTGTTTTAAGCGCAAGGGTTAGTGCACATAGAATGAATAATTGTTACCTACTCAGTTTGATTGTGAAGAAAAGTGTAGCTGAATATCTTATTGTTTCTGGTGAAAATTTGATCGATTTCGATTTCTTGGAGACTTAGTTTCTAATTAAATTTCAACCAAGTAGATTCTTTTTACTTAGGCTAGCAAACAGTTTTCAATCAAAACATGTATGAGAATCGAAAATACCGTAGTGTCGAGAAATGTCATATATCATACAGATTGACAATCGAAAGTACTTTTCTTGATGTTTTTTATTAAGAAACGTAAAATAAAGGAAGCAGTAAAATGTATTGAGAAAGGCAGTACAGAATATTACATCACAGAGAAATGTAAATGTAAAAACCCTTGAAATTGAGAGATGTAAATGGCGGGAATCGAAAATACGTGAAAGTAATATAGCAAGGAATCGAGATTGCAGTAATGTAAATAACAGGAAATTGAAATTGCAGGAGTGTAAATGACAAGGAACTTAAACGCAGAATCTTAACTTGCATAAAAATAAAAATGACAAGGAATTGAAAAGACAGAAACTGAAAGTTGATAAACGTAAATTGCACGAAAGTAAATTACCAGGGAAAGTAAAGAAAGCATAAAAGCAATCAATGAAAATGGAAATCCAGATCGCCAGAAACTTCATGATTCATCATTTCTCTGGTAGACTTTTCACTTGTGTTTCTGTTGTCTCTGCCAATTTCCCCTCCCTTCTTCAAGCTTCACTCTATTTATAGGCATCCTTCAATATAACCTCCCAAGAGCATTTTAAAAAACTGTCACCACGTTCCATGTACACGTTCCTCGATTTTTACCTTAGTTTACGGTTTAGAAAACCGCTTCCACGTTCAATGTGCATTATAACCGTTTCTCGATTTCTAACCTTAGCCGCGATGTGAAAAGCCACTCCTCATGTTCCATCTGCATGATAACCGTTTCCCTCGATCTCGATTCCAGTTATCGAGTTCGATTTCCCTTAACCTTGACTTTATCATTACTTTCATCGATTTGTCTCTCTCTTTTCTGATTCTTGATTTCCATTATCGATTTATATGTTCATACTATCTCGTGGTCACCGGGTGTCTTCCAACCATCTTTCCGTTTTATCAATTTTTTAACCAATCATATGATCTTCGATTTTTTTTCTCTTTTGTTTTTCGATCCTTGTATCGATTTTTTACTAACAAAATGCCCCCTTGAAAGAATATAAATATTTGTATCAATTTTATATTCTTTCAAAAATAACTCCTGCCCTTTAAACGTTCTTGAAGCTCGAAATAACTTTTTAGGGTTTAGGGTTTTTAGGCTTTTTAGGCTTTTTTCTACTTTATGTCAAATATCAAATCACATCACCTCTACCGTCACAACGCACACGCCACATTAATTACCCTCTTCACATCCGTCATTT